TCTTGACTGCATCTCCTCTGAATTTCCAAGACCCCAAGACTCTTCTTCCATTGATTTTAACTTTTTCAAGTACTACCATAATTTTTGTATAGAGCACACAATTCATTTATCTTCAATATGGAGTATATACTGAAGACAATGGGTTCTTGGGAGATTACAGAAAGCACCATGTTGGTCATAGTCTCAATGACTGTTCAGTGGAAGCGTCTATTTTCATGAATCTTTAGCAAGAGAGCCATGAATGCCATGATCAAGAGTATGAATTTTTATTATTAGTCAATGGAAAACTACTAAATATACTACTAAAGAGCTGTTCAGGAAAGGGACATTGCCCCCACCCCAAGATAACTCCAGCCAATTAGACCAAGGGCAGAGTTTAAGGTGAGTAAAATGACTCAGGTAGCATCCTATACTTTGGTCAGGTATCTTCAGAAGAACAAATACATCTTTTACTCAAATCTAAATCCACTTCCACTACGTGGAAAGCAATACTAAAGATCATAACAGAAGAGTTTTAATATATCAACTTCAATGAACTATTTTAAGTATTATCTATTTATTCAGCAATAAAGCCAGGCACTCTCTTATGAGTTATCTAAAACTCTATGATATTATAAGAAAAAGAAAGGAAGATTTGGGACAAAAACAAAATTACCAGAGACAAAAAAATGAAATAGGCAGGATATTCAGAAGAACTTAGATTTTTAAAAGTAGGTTACTAAATATTTTATACATGAAGACAGAAAGAAAGCTTTGAAACAGATCCTATCTAATAATAGACAAACATGGTAATTAACCGTACCTCCAACACGCTTCCCATTGGATAATCAGGGTGATATGCAAATTAACTGCCAACCAAGATAGCGGCCAGCAGCCAGGCAGCTGAAGCGAACATGAGGCTTGGTTGCTCCAGTGATGGAGGAAGCCAAGGTTCCCCACCTGCCGCAGCCTGGCTCTGAGCAGAATTCTAAGATACAATGTTGCAATTATAGAAGCTAAACAAACCCCAGAAACCTGCTTTCAGCCAGCCGGGCCTCAGAGCTGGAGCTGCAATAGTGTTTCAATTATAGAAACCAAACAAACCCAGATACCTGCTTTCAGCAGCAGAGGCCTCAGAGCTAAAGCCGGCTCTCAGCTCCAGTGACAGCCATAGAAGGTAAATAAATCCCAGAATAATAATAATAATAAAAGAACGAAAAAAAGGAGAGGTTGGGAGCTTTAGTCACCTGCCAGCCTGAAAACGGCTCTCAGCCCCTCACCCAGACTGGCTAGGCACCCCAGTGGAAACCCCCACCCTGAAGGGGGTGTGACCAGCTGCAAAGAGCCATCATCCCCTCATCCAGGCTGGCCAGGCACCCCAGTGGGAACCCCCACCCTGAAGGGGGTGTGACCAGCTGCAAACAGCCATCATCCCCTCATCCAGGCTGGCCAGGCACCCAAGCAGGACCCCCACCCTGATCCAGGACACCCTTCAGGGCAAACCAGCTGGCCCCCACCTGTACACCAGGCCTCTATCCTATATAGTAAAAGGGTAATATGCAAACAGACCGTAACAGCAGAAGGACTGGGAATGACTGGTTACTATGACACACACTGACCACCAGGGGTCTGACGCTCAATGCAGGAGCTGCCCTCTGGTGGTCAGGGTGCTCTCACATGGGAGGAGCTTTTCTCAGTCACAAGCCAGGCTGTGACTGTACTGATGGCTGTCAGTACAACGGTGGTGGTGGGAGCCTCTCCTGCCTCCTCAGCAGCACTAAGGATGTCTGACTGCAGCTTAGGTCTGATCCCCGCTGGCAAGTGGACATCCCCCGAGGGCTGCCAGGCTGCCAGAGGAATGTCTGATTGCCATCTTAGGCCCAATACCCCGAGGAGCAGGCCTAAACCAATAAGTGGTCATCCCCTGAGGGGTCCCAGACTGCGAGAGGGCACGGGCCAGCTGAGGAACCCTTCCCCCCCCCACCCCGAGTGCACAAATTTTTGTGCACCGGGCCTCTAGTATTATATAGAAAGGCATTACATTAAGTAGTAATTATCTAAATACTATAAAAGCTGTAAGTAAAAAGGCATATAAAATTAATGCTAAAAATACTCGCAATATGTAACAAAATGCTATTCTCAAAAGAGACCTACTAGAAAAAAATATTCTTTCATCATGAGCAACAATCTCTTATAAGCTTGTGAAAACAACTAGTCATTCCAGGGTTTCCCTAAATCTTGATACTGTTGTTTTCAGTTTAAAATAAAATTATTACTTTTTTTACTTAATTGGTCTCTAGAAGTTAGATGCTAAGAATGAATAACCATTAATAGTTAAACAAATAGTTTGCTTTTTTATGGTTTCAACTGAATTACAAGTAACTTGTCAATTACTAATTAATACCCTTTGTTCAAAGACCTAGGAATTTAATTCATGTATATAAACAAATTTAATAGGTCACAGAGAAAATGTCATACTTGCTACGCTATTCTCTATTTGAAAAGGCAATTCAAGCAGTTAAAAGTTTAATTCACATGGAATATATGCCCTAAGATTTTGCATGTATATATCCAAACAGTTTTTTTTTCTGACCCCACCCACTTACCTCAACCACCCATGAAATAGAGTTTTCCTCTATCATTCCTATTACGTGGCTATTTTCGATAATGCTTTCCAGAATACTCAAAATCATTTAATTCAGTAATGTACTGTTTTTTTATAAATGTTTAAATTCAGATTTGAGAAATTAAAGACTTATTTGTTTACTTGTGGAATCTATAACAGGAATTAAGAAGAAAAACAACAATCCTACACAGGGAAACCACTGATTAAAGTCCAATGTTTGACTACTTAGAAAATGAATCATCCACAAATTCCCTTGTGGGAAAAATGTACAAAAGGCTTCAAATACATGGAGAACACCATGAAAGACATATATTAAAATAAACAAACATACTAGAAAGGTGATGATTTTTAAAGTAAACATGACAACCCCATTAAAATGCAACACACGTTTTCTGCAAAAGGGAAATCTAAAAAGATGAAATAGATGCTTTATATAAAATATTTACATATACAATGTGCAAAACCCACTACGGTTAGTAACCTTTATGGCTTTGAAGAACTAGATATTTACATATCTTTCTTTCTGCATATGTGTGTGTGTGTGTGTGTATGTGTGTTTTGTATATATTTTTAACAGTTGACAGCTGTTTTAGAGCATACAGAGATGCCAAGTTGAATGAGGGTCTTGATTACTTCAAGATTAGCTATCTAAAGTTTCTATTCATTTTAAGTGTTGTTAGTTGGAAGAGTCATTAGTCACTTCCTTGTCTCATAGAACATCAGCATACATTTACATTGTTAATGAACATTTGGGGTAAATGAATTAATGGCACTTTTAAACATCAATTCAGTCCTAATAACTTTGTATGTCATAGAAATGTTAGGCTAGGATATAAACGAAAAGCCTTTTCAGTAAAGGTAACTACTCATTCCTGCAACAATAAAGGATAAAATTAATTTAAAATGTTTTAACCACTTTTTTTTTAAAGACAAGCATCCATATTTAATAAACTAGACCAGAGGAAAAATATGCACTTAAAAAACAAAACACAAAATTCTATGCTCTAAAATAAACATTTTAGGCCAGAAAATTTTGGTGAAACTATTTTATATATGTCTAACCCAAAAACATATTCATAATATCACTGATATTAGGGTTTGTAAAATAATTGGACTTATTTAATTATGAGTGATTCTTACAGGTATTGCATTTAAAAAAATACATCACTAGGGAAGGCAGTTTTTTTACCACTGAAATATTTAAAATGCTGAAACTGAAATGGGACAGTTATAATTTTTTCATTTTTTTTATATTTCAAAACCTTAAACAGCAGTCTTTTTGAGCCCTTTTAAATAAAAGCAAATATAAAATAAAATACATTGTATGGCAAATTATACTATTTTTAATAACACACTCCATAAAGTCAAGAGCTTGAAATAGCCATTTTAAGGGATTATTTTTAAAATTCCAAAAATATGAGTTAATTGCAGATATTTATACCAATATAGAAAAAAAATTGTATCTGAAGTATATAAACCACATGTAAATTGAGTAATTATGATTTTTAAAATAGATTTCACAATCTTGATATGTGTATTTAATGAATAAAATATTACAAGGAGTTTTCTTAGTTAATAAGTCAACTTTATCACTAAGTGAATCATTTAAAAATAAGGATAAGGTTTCAAAAGTTATCACAAATTCATTTCCTTCTAATACACCATATTATTACTAATACTAAAAAAAAATACAGAGCTCTAATATATACTACACATTTGACAAATTTTTATGGGGTGGGCCCTGAATATAGTTTATTTTTTAATAATCTATCTTTTAACAATTTAAATGCATAGATCTGTAAAAGTACAACATAAATTTTAATTTTTTTTTTTTTTAAGGAGAATCAGGCAAGTCTTTTATTCTGGAGTAATCTCATCTTGCTGGAGGGAAAAAAATCCCTGTAAAATCAACACCAAAATGCTCAGACTTCTTTAAAAGAATTTTGACAAAGTCATTTTGCATTTCAGCATCCTTATCTATAATAAAAGCGTAATATGCTAATTAGACCAGACATCCTTCTGGACGACCTTCCGGGCAAAGCAGGGGCTGGAGTAAAGCCCGGGTCCCAGGTGCCAGAGGGAAGCCAGGCCAGCAGCAGGGGGAGGACCTACTCTTGCACGAATTTCATACATTGGGCCTCTAGTACTAAAGTAATTGTTTAAATTTATGGTTTTTAAAAAACAAATGGCAGTGCATTAAACATTTGTCTGTTTTTTTCTATAATTGAAAGTAGACGTTTTGTGGTATTCATTCCTGTCAGTGCCCTATACCTATGCAGAGTTGCCCTGCTTGGTTTCATCCACAGAATTACACACATAAGGTAGGCAGAGCTAACTGAAGGCCCTCTGCTAGGTTTCCCAGTAACCACAGAACATATCTGTATACAAAACTCACCTCCAGTCCTGTTTGAGTAGCTAGACAAGGGGTCAATGCCCACTTCTTGTTCTTCTGGCTGCAGAGGATGTCTAGTTTCAGACAAGGAATGATACATTATGAAAACTGGATGGTGTCAGCAAAAGAGACTCCCTGGGAGATGAAAAATATAGGAAAAAAATGATAAATATGTTTTCTTTCTGCTATGACTGGGAATAAATAAAGGACTAAATGATTAAATGAGCATTACAGACATTAACAAGTTTTCTACAGGCTCCAGGGAATGTTACTACATATTGGTAGCATATGCAAAGATTGGAAAAAGTGGCACTAAATTTCCATGTCAATAATTTCTCCCCTAATCTGAACTTCACTGGTAACCTATGCCTCAATGCTCAATCACATTGTCAATAAACTGCACAAAAAGTTGAACTATAAGTTAAATTATGATCACATTAGTAACATCCTTTTGTTTCATTGTCAAAATAATACATATTTACAATAGAAACTTTCAAAATATAGAAAATATAGCAAAATGCTAATGATATGCTAAGGCCGCTCAACCGCTCACTATGATGTGCACTGACCACCAGGGGGCAGACAGTCAACTGGTCAACCAGTCACTATGATGTGCACTGACCACCAGGAGGCAGATGCTCCAACTGGTAGGTTAGCTTGCTGCTGGGGTCCAACCGATAGTGACTAAGCAAGATGGGCCGGACATGCCCTGGAGCCCTCCTGCGGTCCCTTCCTGGCTGGTCAACCTCCCACATCTCTCCCTGGCCAGCCAGCCCTGATTGGCCCAGATGGGGATTGGAGGAGATGGGCCTGGACACGCCCTGGAACCCTCCCATGGTCCCTCCCCAGCCCTAATTGTGCACCAGTGGGGATCCTCAGCCTAGCCTATGCCCTCTCTCAATGCGGGACCCCTTGGGGTATGTCGGAGAGTTGGCTTTGGCCCAAACCCACAGGCCACTCCCCTCAGGAGGGTGCCAGACTTAGGGCTCATGGCTGGTGAGTGCTGCTGCGGAAGTGCGAGCCTCTCCTGATCAGGACTGATAGGGCATGACCCACAGCAGGCGCAGTGGAGCCAGGATGAGGAGTGGCAGGTAGGAGCTGCAGGCTGCATTGGTCTGCAGGTTTCAGCCCAATTCCCACAGGCCACCCAGAGGGACCCACCCATGCACGAATTTGTGCACCAGGTCTCTAGTATGTGTGTGTGTGTGTGTGTGTGTGTGTGTGTGTGTGTGTGTGCGCGCGCACACACACACACCCATACATATACTTTTAATGTGATCCATCATGCTAAACATACTGATTACATGAATTATTGTGTTTTCCTTTCCATTAAAATCTGTATTATCACTTGTAATGCATTCCTACTATTCCATTATATAGCAATAACAATTTAAGGTAACCAATTCTTTATTAGTAAACAATTAGGATGCTTTCAGTTATTCAACATTATAATCCTCATGATAAATATCTTTTAGTAATATCTCTGTGTCACATCCATGATTATTGTCTTAGGATAAACTCTTATAAGTGTAATTGCTGAACCAAAACATATTTATTTTAAAAATAAGTTTTTGTAGTAAGGTTTTGGCAAATTTTGCTCTAGAAAGATTTGTACACAGCAATTCATTTCCCATGGATCTTCATTAACAATGGTAATAGGTAATTCCTATGGTTTTTGTGTGTGCGCATGTGTGGTGTTTTTTGGTGTGTTTGTTGTTTTTTTTTTGGTGGGGGGAGGTGGGGAGGTGGACCAGTGTAACAGTCAAATTTTATATTGCATTTGCTTGGTAACTAGTGAGATTACTGAGGACTTCATATGTTTTCTCTGACATTTGTTTATTGCCTGTGTAGATGTAGTTTATTATTATAACTGGCTTCATGATTTGTAAGCAAGCTTTAAGTATTAAGGATATTAAACATTTTTCATAGGATACATATATTTTTCTCAGACAATATTTGTCTTCAAATTATGCAGCATTTTTATGACATAAGTAATTCTTTTTATTTTTATGCACCCAAAATACCTATATCTCCTTTATGGTTTCTGTCTCTAGTAATATGTTTACAAAGGCAAGATTACATAAATAACCACCTATATTTTATTTTATAGTTTTGAACATCTTCCTCCTAAATTCTTATGTCAATAATAATTCCCATCTACACAAAGATTTTTGAGATTAAATTATTTTTGAACTTTCAAGCTATACTAACAGGAGAGGATTAGGTAAAACCAATACTGGGAAAGTAGAAAACTTTTGCCTCTAACATTTAGTAAGAATTTCTAAAGCTGTAAATCCTAAATCCAGAAATAGGATAGTTGTCAGTATTTGCTTGTATGTAAATCAATTAGCAAATATTGAATACTTATTATTGCTAAAAAAGAAACAGTAGGCCCAAAATGGAGTCACTAAACCCCACATCTGCAAAGCAAGACTTAATACTTAACCTAACTGCATTTTCAGCTTCTTCCAGGAATGCAACCTTTAACCAATCAGCCAGGAATTACCTGGTCAGCACTAGTGAGGTAAACCCCTTCCATCCCCATAGGTAGGTTAATGAAATATGAAACAATCTACTCTCTTCCCCATTCTGCCTATAGAATCCTTCCATTTTGTACAGCAACTTGGAGCTCCTCTCTATTTGCTCGATGGGATGCTGCCCAACTCATAAATCATTGTATAAAACTGATTTTCAAATTTACTCTGTTGAATTTTTTATATTTAATACTATACAGAAGAAATCTGGAGAATATAATCTAGTACAGAATACCAATATATAGAAGATTAGTTATATTATAAAACAGAATCTGAGAAATTCTGCTGAAGTCCTTTACTAGAGAGAAGTGAGGATCACCAACTCAAATGTCTAAGGGGGTCAGGCAAATAGCATTGTTAATCATAGTTAACATATACTGAGTAATGAATATGTGCCAACAAAAACTACTCTTCATGCTTCATGTATACTCATCATTTCATCTTCTCAACAACACTATCTTCATCTTCATTTTCATTTTCCCAAAGAGAACACTAAGGTATAGAGAGATTAGTCTAGAGCCACACAATTAGTAGATGTTGAAGCCAGATATGAACCCATCCTCTTGAACTCTGGAGCTAACAATCTTTATTCCTACACTACATTTGGCTCCTATTAGTCAATGAAATAAATAGACTACTTATAAAATAAGGAGGTATAAGAGGATAGGTTCTGTGAATAATTGGAAATTCCTTTATTCTGATTCTATCTTTTCAAGATAAGCTAGAAATCCAGAATTTTCAGTGAAATCTCTTTAATTGTAAGGGTTGGAAAATAATACAAATTTTAAGAAAAAAGAACTTTATGAAGCAAACTAAACACATTTCAAAATTGTATCTGGCCCATGGACTATTTTAATGTAAGATTCATATTCTCTATATATTGTTATACTCTTAAAAAACAATAATAAGCATTTGAAAGTGCATATTCCATGTTAACTACCAGATTTCTTTAACATCCTTTAATCTCCTATAGTATGTTTTCAAATCATATCCTTAATTTCTTATTTTTATAATATAGTTCTAGAGGCCCGGTGCATGAAATTAGTGCACGGGGCAGGGGGATGGGGAGGGTATGTCCCTCAGCCCACCCTGCAACCTCTCCAATTTGGGACCCCTCAAGGGATGTCTGACTGCCCCTCACAATCCAGGACTGCTGGCTCTCAACCGCTAGCCTGCCTGCCTGCCTGATTCCCCCTAACCGCTTCTGCCTGTCAGCCTGATCACCCCCTAACCACTCCCCTGCCAGCCTGATCGACGCCTAACTGCTCCCCTGCTGGTCCAATTGCCCCTAACTGCCCTCCCCTGCCGGCCTGGTCACCCCTAACTGCCCTCCCCTGCTGGCCCGGTTGCCTCTAACTGTCCTCCGTTGCCAGCCTGGTGGCCCCCAACTGCCCTCCCCTGCAGGCCTGGTCACCCCCAACTGCCCTCCCCTACAGGCCTGGTCACCCCAACTGCCCTTCCTTGCAGGCCTGGTCACCCCCACTGCCCTCCCCTGCACGCCTGGTCCCCCCTCAACTGCCCTACCCTGCTGGCCTGGTTGCCCCAACTGCCCTCCCCTTCCTGCCTGGTCGCCCTCAAATGCCCTCCCCGCAGGCCCGGTGCGCCCAACTGCAATCCTCTGCCAGCCCGGTCACCCCTAACTTCCCTCCTCTGCTGGCCCAGTCACCCCTAACTGCCCTCCTCTGCCGGCCCGGTCCCCCCTAACTGCCCTCCTCTGCCGGCCATCTTGTGTCTGCATGGGGGCGACCATCTTGTGTGTTGGAGTGATGGTCAATTTGCATAATACTTCTTTATTAGATAGGATTATTTCACTGTCACAAATTTCACATACCTAAAATATACAAAAAAAGGGGGACTTTACATATTCTATGAGAAATAGACAAATACTGATATGAAAGTATATTTTTGAAAGGATATAAAAAAACCTTTCTATAGTTAAAATAAAATACTTTACACAATGATAATGTTCTTACATTCATGTAAGATGCTCACAGGTTCCTAATTTTTTTTACTCCTTAGAGAAAATTAGTTCAAGAAATCATTTGTTTTTAACTTGAATAACAACTCTTTATAAACTGACAAGTCTATGATAATAGCCAACAACCACAATACAAAATTTACCAAACACACCAGTCTATAATAATTCTATTCAGTTAGACATCCACAAGATTCTAAATTACTATGCCTATGGATTAAAACAGAATCACTGAAATGCTTTTATAATTAAATAAAGACAACCTGCTGAATAGTAATAATGAGTTAATATGAAGAAGTCTATTGAAAAAGTAGATAATATTTTTCTTTTAATTATGGATTTAAATAATAATCTAGTTTAAAAGTAACTTATTAAGCAGGTGCTGCTTTGTTTTTTGTTGTTTTGTTTAAATATAAAGGGCCATTTTAGCTCTCTAGAATAAAAAAAATACTTAATTATGTTAGTTGCTGCTATTGTGATTATCTTATAAAATCACAATATACTTTTGCTTTTCAATGTGAAGCAATTTTTCAATTTGTGTTTTGACAATACCAAAAATGAAAATATTTGACTACAAAGTAGAATATCAAAGGTTTTTAAACAATTGAGTCTATATTTATTTTAAT